CGGGATCCTGGGCACGCATGCACACGCTCCCAGCGTGAGTTTTAAGCCATCGGGTCCGGGACGCGAACCGCGGTCGACTACGTAGGAGTCCAGTGACATAGCCATTACGCTAATTGCTGGTTCCAATTCTGTCTTTTCTTTTCCCCTGCGCTTCCCATGACCCTCCTCTGCTGTCTCCTTGCTGTCCTGGCAGGCCAAGTTTACCCATGGGGGAACCGATTCCAACCAAACCGCACCAACCTGTGGCAGGTAAGACCTGTTCCTCCTTTCACTAAGCTTTGACTGAGACTTGCTGTAGGCCAGGCATTGTGTTAGGTGAGGATTCAGAGGGCCTTGTGTTCCAAGGCAACTGATAACTGATAAACAGGTAAAGCAAAAGATGGTGTGGTAAATGTTCATATTACAGATTTTCAGAACTGAGCATCCTGGGGATGACTTCAAAGAGAGGTGACACTGGAGCCTATTGAATAGAAGTTTGTGACGTGAAAAGTGAAGGAAAGAACATTCCAGCAGTAGAATGCCTGGCACTGTATTAGGCAAGAACTCTGTGTTCAGAGATGTGACCTGTTCAGGGAGGCTGGATATCAGGAAAGGGACGGAGGTGTACAAATGGAGAATGGATGGGAAACAGGAAGGAGCAGGTGTTCCACGCTCTTTCAGACTTTACTCTCCAGACAGTGGGGAACCAACACAGGGGTTTTGTTTGTTTGTTTAGATTTTTGCCATAAGGCAAATACACTCACTGGAGAGGGACAGAGATAGACAGAAAAAAAGAAAGTGAGAAATCACCCCACAGGGGGGATGGTCATGCTGTAACCCATTCTCTCCCATTATCCTCTTGGGATTTTGGCCACACACGCACATGCACCCAGCATGAATTTCAAGCTGCAGGGTACAGGACTGGCCATGTGGAATCCAGTGCCTTAACCACCATACCACCTGCTGGCCCACCAACAGAGGTTTTTAAACAGAAGGAACAAAATCATTTTGATTTGGGGCCATGCTAATCACTGTTAGTTTGTTTTTTCTTTTTTCTTATAGAACTATTTTATTTAACTTTATTTATTTACTTATTCATTTATTTTAGTTTGACCAGATTGAGACAAGAGCGAGAGCAAGAGAGAGAGAGAGAGAGAGAGAGAAAGCAAGCTGCGATTAATTAAGATCTTTATTGAATCAATAAAATGTGGGGCGGGGAAGGCATAGAAAGCAACCATGGATACCAGAGACAGTGTGGGAGGAGGGCAGGAGATGGCAGAGGGTGAGAGATAGGGAATCAAGGATGGGAAAAAAAAAGAAAAATATATAGGAAACAAGAAATGGAAAATTATTTGTTGACAATAACACGTATGTTGATGTGCTTGATTGAGCCAATATACAGTGTGTTCTGGATGGGAAGTCTCATTTTGTATGCTATAATAATGTATAGTAAATGAATGTAAATTTTAAAAAAAAAGAAAAAGAGGGAACCAGCAGTTAGCGTAATGGCTATGTCGCTGGACTCCCATGTAGTCGACTGCAGTTCACGTCCCAGACCCGGTGGCTTAAAACTCACGCCGGGCACATGTGCATGCATGCCCAAGATCCCAAGAGGAGAATGGAGAAGGGATTGCAGCGTGACCATCCCCCCGGGGGGTGATTTCTCGCTTTCTGTCCCTATGTCTCTCTCTGTCTGTCTGGCGAGCGCATGCGCCCTATAGTGAGTAAAAATCTCCCCAAAAAGAAAAGAAAAGAAAAAAAAAAAAAAAGAAAGCCACTAGGTCTGAGACTTGAACCATTCTTGGCCATGTGGGAGTCCAGTGCCCTTAACCACCACACCACTTGCCAGCCCCAATCACTGTTAGTTTTTGCATAGATGAAGTCGAGCTTCAGTAGTAGCAGATTCTTCTTTCTTTTTTCTTTTAAGAGAGATTTTTGCTATAGGGTACATGCCCTCACCAGAGAGACAGAGATCACCCCCTAGCGGGGATGGCCATGCCACAATCCCTTCTCTATTCTCCTCTCAAGATTTTGGGCACGCACTCACATGTGCCCGGCATGAGTTTAAGCCACCGGGTCCAGGACTCAAACTGCGGTTGACTATATGGGAGTCCACCGACATAGCCATTATGCTAACTGCTAGTCCCAAGAAATGTTGCAGTCTTAGCATGCCGAAATACTGAGTAAATTAGCCGAATCCCTTTTTTTTTTTTTTTTTGAGAGGTTTTTGCTATAGAGCACATGCGCTCACCAGACAGACAGAGAGAGACATAGAGACAGAAAGCGAGAAATCACCCCCCAGGGGGGATGGTCACACCGCAATCCCTTCTCCTCCATTCTCCTCTCGGGATCTTGGGCACGCACGCACACGCTCCCAGCGTGAGTTTTAAGCCACCGAGTCTGGGACGCGAACCGTGGTCGACTACGTGGGAGTCCAGCAACATAGCCATTACGCTAACTGCTGATTCCCCGAATCCCAATTTAATGAGGAAAAAAAATGAGCAAGGTGGACAAATTGCATCAGCAAATGCAGGTTTACTTTTCAGGAATGTTGGTGGTAGAGCTGGAGTAGGGAAGGTAGTTAGGGGGGCTGAGGGGGAAGTAAGTCTGTCAGTGGTTGAAGGGAATGGGGCCTCCTACAGGACACAGAAAGAGCATCAGCAATGCCTCAGCAGGCAGGCAGAAGTAGGTGCCCATGCCCAGGCAGGGGTGTAGGACACAAGAAGGGGAGAAACCTCACTTCCCAAAGCAGCGTGGCATGTGGGATTGGAGGCTGAGGAGGTGCTGAGCTGTGGAGAAAGCAGGAGTGGGCCACAGTGAGCACAGAAAAGCACACTGTTCTGAAGCCAGCCCAGAGGTCATGGAGGACGTGAAGCAAACTGGTGTTGGAGCTTAGGATGGGAACCCTAGGTCACTGCCTCATGCCCTTCCCCCAGTGATACAGCAAGATGCCCTTATTTTCCCTCTGGGTAGGCAGGAACACCTGCCTTGTGACAGAATGGCAAAACCTTTAGCCTAATTTCTCCCCCAGGGAGAGTTCCCCAAGGGTGACCGAGCTGAGGACGGCTTCCACGGACTCTCCCCTGTGAACGCTTTCCCCCCACAGAACAACTACGGTAGGCTTTCTCTGCGGGTTGCTGTCAGCACTCACAGACGGGATGGTGGGATCTTGCTGCTCCTGAAGTGTGGCAGAGAGAAGTGCCCAGGGCCTCCGATGGGTAGGGGGGCTGGTCTGGAGCTTCCTGGCCTGGACTGACCTGCTTGCCATGCCGCAGGGCTCTATGACCTTGTGGGTAACGTGTGGGAGTGGACAGCATCACCATACCAGGCTGCTGGCCAAGACATGCGTGTCCTCCGGGGGGCATCCTGGATCGACACGGCTGATGGCTCCGCCAATCACCGGGCCCGGGTTACCACCAGGTAAGAGGCTTGGGCCAAGGGAACATGTGCAGTAGCTCAGGGCTGAAGGTCTAGATCCCAGGCTCCCAGAGGGCAGATGGCGCCAGGGCTGGCGTTGCTGCTGCCTCTGCAGTCCACCCCCACCAAGAGTTGTGGGTGCAAAGAAAGCAAGCATTCTTGCCATGAAGAGCGGAAGGCCCAGGACGACTCGTGAGCTTTTCCTGCCAGCTCTCAGC